GGCAGAGTAGGGTTGGTTGGGTAGTGAAGGGTTGGTTGGGTGGGGTTGGTTGGTTGGGTAGAGTAGGGTTGGTTGGGTAGAGTAGGGTTGGTTGGTTGGGCAGAGTAGGGTTGGTTGGGTAGAGTAGGGTTGGTTGGTTGGGTAGAGTAGGGTTGGTTGGGCAGAGTAGGGTTGGTTGATTGTGTAGGGTTGGATGGGCAGAGTAGGGTTGGTTGGGTAGAGTAGGGTTGGTTGGGTAGAGTAGGGTTGGTTGGGTAGGTAAGGTTGTTTGGGCGGAGTAGCGATGGTTGTTTGGGCGGAGTAGGGATGGTTGGTTGGGCGGAGTAGGGTTGGTTGGGTAGAGTAGGGCTGGTTGGGTAGTGTAGGGTTGGTTGGGCAGAGTAGGGTTGTTTGGGCGGAGTAGGGATGGTTGGTTGGGCGGAGTAGGGTTGGTTGGGTAGAGTAGGGTTGGTTGGGTAGAGTAGGGTTGGTTGGGTAGAGTAGGGTTGGTTGGGTAGAGTAGGGTTGGTTGGGCAGAGTAGGGTTGTTTGGGCGGAGTAGGGATGGTTGTTTGGCCGGAGTAGGGATAGTTGGTTGGGCGGAGTAGGGTTGGTTGGTTGGGCAGAGTAGGGTTGGTTGGGTAGTGTAGGGTTGGTTGGGCAGAGTAGGGTTGTTTGGGCGGAGTAGGGATGGTTGTTTGGCCGGAGTAGGGATAGTTGGTTGGGCGGAGTAGGGTTGGTTGGTTGGGCAGAGTAGGGTTGGTTGGGTAGTGTAGGGTTGGTTGGGCAGAGTAGGGTTGTTTGGGCGGAGTAGGGATGGTTGTTTGGCCGGAGTAGGGATAGTTGGTTGGGCGGAGTAGGGTTGGTTGGTTGGGCAGAGTAGGGTTGGTTGGGTAGTGTAGGGTTGGTTGGGCAGAGTAGGGTTGTTTGGGCGGAGTAGGGATGGTTGTTTGGCCGGAGTAGGGATAGTTGGTTGGGCGGAGTAGGGTTGGTTGGTTGGGCAGAGTAGGGTTGGTTGGGTAGTGTAGGGTTGGTTGGGCGGAATAGGGTTGGTTGGGCAGAGTATGGTTGGTTGGGCAAGGTAGGGTTGGTTGGTTGGGTAGGGTTGGTTGGGCGGAGTAGGGTTGGTTGGGCGGGGTAGGGTTGGTTGGGTGGGTGGAGTAGGGTTGGTTGGTTGGGCGGAGTAGGGTTGGTTGGTTGGGCGGAGTAGGGTTGGTTGGTTGGGCGGAGTAGGGTTGGTTGGGTAGAGTAGGTCGGCGCGGGTATCTTCATCATTTGCCATAAGCTTCCCCATCTTCTTTATTAATTGCTGACCTAATGTCCTTTCTAACTCATAGCCTTACCCTCCATCCAACCATCCCAGAAGACTTTCCAGGGTAGACTTCTTTATATCTGGGTTCACACCATATCCCCCCGCGCGCGTTCATTGGGGGAACCATCATCTAACCTTTGGATTTACACCCTATCTCTAGGAGGTTGGCCGCTGGGCTAAATCAAAGGCTATACCCCAACACACACCGATCAAGAGCAGTTTAACTCGGTGTCCTCAGAAGGTGGGACATTTCTCCAGCTCAGCTGGATGAGGACATTGAATCTGAAGAGTCTTTTATCAACAGTTGTTGCAGGGTCATATCATACCCCGACCCGCAACCCAACAGATGTTCTCTCAGTGTTATACTGGACCAGCCTTGGTGACCCCCCTCCTTCTCCTGAACTATATTCCTAAGTTTAAAGCATATTGACTCAACTGACTTTTTGAGCCTTGACACAGTTCTCACCATAGGTATGTTATGGACAGCCAGGTCCAAGCCGGGCCTTCATCATCTATAGACTGAGGAACCAAATTCATTGCCGATGAACATCTGGGCTTCTGCAAAGATGTTCCTCATCATCCATTAGAGAGTGGTAATCGTCACCCAACAGGACCTCCTCCATTCCAACACACGTCGGCCTACTATACGTTCTCGGAGAAGCTGAGGATGTGGACAGCACCACAACCGGTAACGCCGCCTGTATCTGCCCTGGGCGAGGCGGCTAGGATTCCTGCCGTGACCCTTTTTCTCCTACGAGGACTAATATTTCCTCCTGGCTCTCGGCCTTTGGAGTGAATGACAGGAGGACTATTGAGGACCAACTTCTAGACTTCATCCAAGCCTCAGGAGAAACAATTCACCGAGAGATCACCAAGAACACTTCTCCCAGGAGGGGGTGGGGATGTATTGGCCTCTGATGGGACTCCACTTAAGGCACCTCCTCAGAGTTAGGGTTAAGCCTAACCCTCAGGCACCTCCCCAACCCTAAGGCTCCTCCCCAACCCTAACCCTAAGGGCTGGTATATACATTATTTATTTGTATCCCTCTCGGTGGGGTGGAGATGACCCAACTATGAGGATATACAGAACACAAAGCACAAGGCCGAGATGTTTCTCAGTTCCTCAGAGCTCCACCAGGTGGTGATCTCACCTATACCCACACAGGAAGTCTCTATGACAGGAAGTGATGTCAGGTAAAAACTTATTATTGGCTCTCCTCTTTACCTATTCTCTCATCTTTGGGGTTCAGGGTGAAGACCTGAGAGACTTTAAAGGTAAAGAGGAAGAAGAAGAAGAGATGTTGGTAAGTGGAGATCAGCAGTTTATGGAGGAAGGTGGTCCTCTGTATTCCCGGGATCCCACCCAGGAAGATCTCACCTTCCCCCACCATGATCCGGTAGATAATGAACAATTGGTAGTGACGATTTATAGACAACCATGTTGGTTACAATGAATGTTTTATACTCAGAGTGGAGACTTCGGGGATTATAACATTGTCGTTAAAGAAGAGTATAAGGAGGAGGATGAGGAGTACGGGGTGATGGAGCTTTCAGGAGGACACAAGGATATGATGGAGCCAACCAATACCAGAAACCCACCAGAGAGGTGTCCCCGCCCTCTGTATTCCCGGGACTCCACCCAGGAGGATCTCACCATCCCCCACCATGAGAGATGTCCCCGCCCCCTGTATTCCCGGGACTCCACCCAGGAGGATCTCACCATCCCCCGCCATGATCAGGTAGATGATGGACCATCACTGGTGGTATCTGGACATTATCTACATTGTTACAATGTGTTTTTATTTTATATTCAGAGAGATTCTAAAGTTGATGTTAAAGAAGAGATCAAAGAGGAGGAGGATGATGAGGATGTAGTGATGGAGGAGTCGGAGCTTCCAAAAGAACACAAAGATCTGTACCGGGAGAACATGGAGGAGTCATCTATCTACAGGAACCCACCAGAGAGATGTCCCCGTCCTCTATATTCCCGGGACTCCACCCAGGAAGATCTCACCATCCCCCACCATGAGAGATGTCCCCGCCCCCCCTATTCCCGGGACCCCACCCAGGAAGATCTCACCATCCCCCACCATGATCAGGTAGGTGGAGTTGAGGGGCGGGAACATAAAGTGATGGAGATGACGTGTGGACTCTACAAGATGAGATCTTCTATGTGATGTCACATCATAAATACTTCTATGTCACAGATGAGACTTTCTGCCGTTCTGTTGGTTTAGGGTGAAGATCTGATGAAGATGAAAGTTGAGGGTGAAGTAGAAGAGACGTATGTGAGGGATGATCAGCGATATACGGAGGAGGCCGGGATGATGAGGACATCCATAGAGGAGGACACGCCTACAGAGATCAGCACAGGTGGGTCATAACATGGGTCCACCAATAATCTCTTGATTTCCGTTTGTAGTCCATGGACGGGACGTCGGGAAGATCTCAGAGGAACGTCTCGGTGTTGGATTCCCTCCTTAACATCCAGGTTTCCATGATGGGTGTTACCCTCCGCCCTATTATAACTCGGGAGAATGGGCCAAAGCCCTAAAAGAGATCTCTCCATCCCCGGTTCCTGCTAGAGGATGGGAGCCGTACGCTTCAGTGGCGGTGGATTGTTCTAAGCTTCTAGACCTGAGTCCCGTTATGGGTCTGATGGTCCATACGGGTGCACAGAACATTCTGGGGAGGGTTCTGGGAAGCGGATGCCGTCTCTTCGAATCTCCCCGGGAAACCATCCTAACGGGAGGTCAGAGTGTACATCTTAGGGTTAAGAATCCAAGGAAAGGTGGGTGGAGTTCCATCCTTCATCTACCTCTGGACCTTCTAAGCCCGATCCGGAAGCAGCCCATGAGGTTAGAAGCCAGAAAACATCTCAGCTCTTGTTGAAGGTGCCCCCACAAGGGGAGGGATGGTTGTTGATCCTTGCAGAAGTTGGTTCTTTGGGCATTCAGGTGCGGAGAGCGCCCCGTTTGGGTTCTCGGGATGCCCTCCTGCACTTCAGCTACTCCCTCTTTTTTTTTTCCCCTGCCCCCTTGGGGGTCTCCTCAGTCCTGAGGCTCCGGCTATTGTTCTTGTGCCAGTATGATGCTCGTAGTTGTGTCCCATTCTGGTCTCCCTCTGAGTAATCCTCTTCCATTCAGACATAGAAGTCCTCCTGTGGTACCCCTCAGATGTCCCCTTCCCGCCCTTAGCCCTGTGGCTGTTGAATCCAAGGTTGGGCAGGATCTATTTTCAGCAGGGTGGTTCTTCGGGCCACCGCAGAGGTGCCTCTTGCCTACAGGTGAGTACGTCAAGTTCAATGAGGGCGGGGTCTAAGTTTCCTCTCCTGCCCATGGTTCGGCGGTCCCTTCCAATGTGGGTCATTCCTCTATGGATGGTGACTTCTTGGTCTCAGACATCACGTTGGTCCTCCATGTCCTCCCTCAGGATGTCCTCCTATCATTCAGACACTTGTGCCCGTTTCTGGTGCTGGTCCTCCGGGCAGCTCCAGGGCTTCAAGCAGCCCCCATTTATGTTTGGTTTGCCCACCCTCCTGGACATCCCAACAGTATCTGACTTTCTGTGTCCCTCAATGGACTCCAAGAAAAGGATCTAATGGTGAGTACATTTGATTGGAGCTCAGATTATTACATGTCTACAGTAAGGTGATGACATCATCAAACATAGGAAGTGAAGAATAAGTGATAACCCAACAATGGTCTTCAGGATCAGTTCTGTCCTTATCTTGGTAGGTCACCCCCCATCATCACTCTCTGACCTCTGGTGGAGCTCATCCCTTCATCTAACCACAATCTCTTTCTTTCAATTTGTAGTCCACGGACGGGACGTCGGGAAGATCTCAGAGGAACGTCTCGCGTTGTCTCCAGAAGATGACGACACCACACAGTATAGTCCAGGAGAAGACCATAAAGTCCATCAGGTGCCCCATAGTGTGGATGGACCATTGTGTTCTTCTAATCCTGAGGAACCTCAGACTGAGAGGGACGGTCTCGTCCTTCAAAATATGCTTTCCTGTACTGTGTGTGGGAAAGGTTTTGTCAAAAAATCAGACTTGGAAAAACACCAGATATCTCACAGAGGGGAGAAGCCGTATTCCTGTCATGAGTGTGGGAAACGTTATCCACAGAAAGCAGCACTGGTCAGACATCTACGGTCTCACACAGGGGAGAAGCCGTATTGCTGTACCGAGTGTGGGAAATGTTACCCAATGAAATCAGCACTTATCAGGCATCGAAGATCACACACAGGAGAAAAGCCGTATTCTTGCCCAGAGTGTGGGAAGTGTTTTCTGTGGCAGTCCCAACTTGTCAGACATCAGATAAATCATACAGGCAAGATGCCACATTCCTGCCCCGAGTGCGGGAAAAGTTTCCCGATGAAATCGGCGCTTGTCAGACATCAGACGTCGCACACTGGGGAGAAGCCGTGTTCCTGCCCTGATTGCGGAAAATGTTTCTCACGGAAATCCTATCTTTCCGCACATCAGAGGTGTCACACAGGGGAGAAGCCGTTTTCCTGTCCTGAGTGTGGGAAGTGTTTTCTACGTAAACCAGATCTCACTGCACATCAGAGGACTCACACCGGGGAGAAGCCGTATTTCTGCCCCGAATGCGGGCAGTGTTTTCCGCTAAAATCAACACTCGTTAGGCATCAAAGATCTCACACAGGCCAGAAACCATATTCCTGTCCTGAGTGCGGGAAACGTTTTTCACAGAACTCTCACCTTTCTGTACATCAGAGATGCCACTCAGGCAACAAGCCATATTCCTGCCTTGAGTGCGGGAAAAGTTATCCTCGGAAATCAGAACTTGTCACCCACGAAAGAACTCACACCGGGGAGAAGCCGTTTTCTTGCCCCGAGTGCGGAAAAAGCTACCCACTGAAATCGACACTTGTCAGACATCAAAGATCTCACACGGGCAACAAGCCCTACCCCTGCCCCGAGTGTGGAAAATGTTTTTTAGAGAAGTCTTATCTTTCAGTACATCAGCTGTGTCACAGGGCCGAAAAGCCGTATTCCTGCCCCGAGTGCGAGAAATGTTTTGCGCGCAAGTCAGATTTCGCTAAACATCAGAGATGCCACACGGGGGAGAAGCCGTATTCCTGCCCCAAGTGCGGGAAACGTTTTTCACAACAGTCCAGTCTCACCACACACCAGAGAACGCACTCTACCCATGAGACGTATTAGTGTCTGGAGTGTGGGAAATGTTTTTCACAACAGTCCAGTCTCACCACACACCAGAGAACGCACTCTACCCATGAGACGTATTAGTGTCTGGAGTGTGGGAAACGTTTTTCACAACAGTCCAGTCTCACCACACACCAGAGAACGCACTCTACCCTTGAGACGTATTAGTGTCTGGAGTGTGGGAAATGTTTTTCACAACAGTCCAGTCTCACCACACACCAGAGAACGCACTCTACCCATGAGACGTATTAGTGTCTGGAGTGTGGGAAACGTTTTTCACAACAGTCCAGTCTCACCACACACCAGAGAACGCACTCTACCCTTGAGACGTATTAGTGTCTGGAGTGTGGGAAATGTTTTTTTAGTTCCTTGCTAGTGTGGGAAATGTATTTGAATGTAAATGTATATTAAAATAATTTGAGACACGTGCCTTCAGATTTGTATATTTCATTTTTCTTTCACGTTGGTTTTATTTTAACTATCTCCAGACCGGCCATTGTAGTCATGGCTGAAAGTCAGGACCTCTGATCCTCTGAGAGGACATTTTAAGACTTGTTTTCTTACAACGGAGGTGATCTGCACTCTCATTAGAAATCTGAAGACCCTCCTGTATAGGAAGGTATCAAACGTGACCTCTAGTCAGCCTCGGTTGTCCTATTTAGACCGATCATCGCTAGATGATTGCGCCAGCCCACTTGGAGCTTTGAGGAACTCCCAGGTACCATCGTTAGTGAGAAGCTCACGTCTAAGGACACTCATCCCAAATTTCTGATGACGTGGTTCTCCCGGGTGGGCTACCTCAGATCTGGGGGTTGAACCTTAACTTGCTGAGCCTATAATTGGGCTTATCTGTCCTGGTGGTCCCGTTTCTATTGGTTCCCTACGTTCCTGCCCCCTTTCTTCTTCCCTCCCCATTCCTTCTCTTCTGTGAATGTCTTCTCTCACGTGTTTGTCTCCGTCCTTCTTCTCTCATCTGGTATTCCACCTACACAACATTAGCTGCACCGGGTGGTGGTGTGTAGGGGTGTTTGGAGGGTGATGGGGTCTTTTCAGAGAACTGTGCCGGGGGTGGGTACAGAGAGTCCGGTCTGTTGTTTCAGATGGCCAACCCTTGGTGAGCTTCTCATTCTAGGGTTGAACTTGGCTTGGATGTTCTGGAAGGTTCTCCTGTTAGTCCTCCCTTCTGGAGAGATCGTTCTTTTAACCTCTTCCCCTCTTGGGGTTGTTCAGAAGGCTCTGGGCCTGGGCCTAGAGGGCATCACCCATATGGGCCTAGGTTTTCTGCTCTGCCTAGTTGTTCATCAAAGGAAGAGTCAAACCCGAACCTGTTTTGTGGGGCCGATTGTACACAAGACGTTCCATGTGATGAATCTGGATGCCGAGGAGGCTCACCCAGTGACTATTGACCAAGGAACTGTAGGAACCCCAGATACTTGTTTTGGCATTCCACCTCCTTGGGCCATCTGTCCCACCAAGTTCATGTAAAGCATTAAACACCACCTGGGTAGACCAACGTCTTTCAAAGGCAAGTAGGTGTGATCTATTCCGAGGAATGACCTCTAGGGGTCCCTCTTGTAAGACCCTAAAGGTGGAGGCAATAGAGACATCGGGACATTGAGGAGAAGATGTATAAAGGCTTCACTCCGCGTATAGTCATCCACACAGCATTACAGCCGCTGGATGGAACCCCCGGACACTGGATCTCAAAGACACCAGGTGACACAGAGATCCTCAGAGACATAGGGTGTAGGGGACCTTGGTGGCACCGGAACTCATGGACACTGGATCTAGAAGACACCAGGTGACACGGGTCATCAGAGACATAGGCTGTAGGGGACCTTGGTGACACCGGAACTCCTGGACACTGGATCTAGAAGACATCAGAGACATAGGGTGTAGGGGACCTTAGTGGTACCGGAACTCATGGACACTGGATCTAGAAGACATCAGAGACATAGGGTGTAGGGGACCTTAGTGGTACCGGAACTCATGGACACTGGATCTAGAAGACATCAGAGACATAGGGTGTAGGGGACCTTAGTAGTACCGCAACTCATGGACACTGGATCTAGAAGACATCAGAGACATAGGGTGTAGGGGACCTTAGTAGTACCGCAACTCATGGACACTGGATCTAGAAGACATCAGAGACATAGGGTGTAGGGGACCTTAGTGGTACCGGAACTCATGGACACTGGATCTAGAAGACATCAGAGACATAGGGTGTAGGGGACCTTAGTGGTACCGGAACTCATGGACACTGGATCTAGAAGACATCAGAGACATAGGGTGTAGGGGACCTTAGTAGTACCGGAACTCATGGACACTGGATCTAGAAGACATCAGAGACATAGGGTGTAGGGGACCTTAGTAGTACCGGAACTCATGGACACTGGATCTAGAAGACATCAGAGACATAGGGTGTAGGGGACCTTAGTGGTACCGGAACTCATGGACACTGGATCTAGAAGACATCAGAGACATAGGGTGTAGGGGACCTTAGTGGTACCGGAACTCATGGACACTGGATCTAGAAGACATCAGAGACATAGGGTGTAGGGGACCTTAGTGGTACCGGAACTCATGGACACTGGATCTAGAAGACATCAGAGACATAGGGTGTAGGGGAGCTTAGTGGTACCCGATCTCATGGACACTGGATCTAGAAGACATCAGAGACATAGGGTGTAGGGGACCTTGGTGGCACCGGAACTCCTGGACACTGGATCTAGAAGACATCAGGGGTCACCAGACACAGAGTGCAGGGGACCTTGGTGGCAGAGGACCTCATAGACGCTGGATCTAGAAGACACCAGGTGACACGGGTCACCAGAGACACAGAAAGAAGGGGACCATGGTGGCCAAGGAACTCAAGGACATGGGATCTAGAAGACATCAGGGGTCATCAGAGACATAGGGTGTAGGGGACCTTAGTGGCAGAGGAACTCATGGACACTGGATTTAGAAGACACCAGGTGACACAGAGGTCATCAGAGACACAGAAATAAGGGGACCTTGGTCGCAGAGGACCTCCTGGACACTGGATCTAGAAGACATCAGGGGTCACCAGAGACACAGAGTGTAGGGGACCTTGGTGGCAGAGGACCTCCTGGACACTGGATGTCAAAGATCCCAATTGACACAGGGGTCATCAAAAACAGAAAGAAGGGGACCATAGTGGCAGAGGAACTCATGGACAATGGATCTAGAAGACACCAGGTGACCCAGGGGTCATCAGAGACACAGAGTGCAGGGGACCTTGGCGGCAGAGGAACTCTGGAACTAGGGACAGTCTGGAACTCAGGATGTTGGTCTGAGCACAGCTTAACTTTAGAGGTAGACTGACAGGCTGGGCAGGGACTGACTATGTCCATCAGCAGGTGAGATGCGGGGATCCCTATCAGTCCTATATCTCTGTCCCTCTCGGTGGGGTGGAGATGACCCATCTATCAGGATACACAGAACACACAGCACAAGAGAGGTCTCTCAGGGCTGCAGTTCCTCTGAGCTCCACAAGGTGGTGATGTCACCTATTCCCAGACAGGAAGTCTCTATGACACCTACAGACAGGAAGTTCCGGGTTAGAGGTGAGTCGAGAGGAAGTAGAGAGGAAACATTGTTGGAAGTGGCAGCAAGGGAGGTAATGAGATTATTTTATATATTTACACCCCCCCCCC